TCACGTAAATAGTCATGGAATTGGTTTTGATGGTTTGTGTTCTCAGTTAGCAAAGCAATGGTGAAAACTCTTCCACATTGACTTCAATGAAAGAAAAAAAAAATCCTTTTTTATTGTTTTGCTGAACCTAATGATGAGCAAATGGGTCGCAGGGTTTAGCAAGAGTTTGATGATCAAACTGATCATCATTTTCAGAAGACGTCAAGCATTTCCCGTTTCTGTAAGCCTTAGCCTTAGACACATTAGAGCTTTTCTCATTGCTTATGTCCAAGTCTAGCCCATTTCCCGTCGATAAGAAGGTTTGGTTTGTGTTCCTTCATTTCTTCTGACTAGTTTGATTCGAGGAAGAGCTAAAAGCATAAGCAATGGTGGAAAGCATCAGACACCTATTTTCTGAGTGACTGAACTAGGAGGAACTTGAATCTACTTCTTCCACTCAAAAGGGTTAGCACCGAAGTGCGTAAGAGCACTGAAACCGAAGGCGTATAAGCTACCTTTACCCTTGCTTTTTCCACCCGATCCCATGTTACCCTCATTCATACTATTGCTTACTATACAACATAGAAAAGTCAAAATGACGTGGATGTTCAGCCTTTACCTGAAGATCAACCTTGTGGTATCTCGAATTGGGATAACTATTCTCTTATGCTTGTCCAAGGAGAACTTGCTAGGCGATCCATTCTTGCTCCCTATACAAACAACAATAGCTAAGTAGGCTTGTTTGCCTTGATTAAACACCATACTTGTTTGTTTAGCTTAGTTGGGCAGCTCGGCAAATAGACAAAAGATTCGGAGACATTGGGGGTTCCTCCCTTGATTACTTGCTTGCAATATCATTGAGGTGTATTCTCCCTATAAATGAAAGGCCTAAACACTAACATCCGACAAGTCTTTGAGGCTCTCGGTTCTATATCTGTTTCAGAGGAGATCACTTTCTCTTCTCGTTGCTGCTGTTGGTGATTCCGCATATAGATGAGAGGTTTCCTAACCGACCAAAGAATGCAATGGTGGAACCGGACAGCACCAGTTAGTTCTGTCCTGACTTCAGTAGTGTGCGTCTAGACCAAAAGGAGATACAAGGCTGGCTCAATCCGGATCCGCAAACAAAAAAGAAAGAAATGATGCTTCTGCTTCCACAGGTGAATGATTCACATCAAATGAATCCAGCTAGCCGCATCTTCTATATGAGCAGATTCCTTATAGGAAAAATGATTCTTGGGGCAGCGAGAGGATAAATGACTATTGATGTCAGTAAAGTGGTTTTTTCACTAAAAAAAAACCTGCCATTCCATCCATGTTTGATTTCGGGTTGTTCGAGAAGAGGGTGAGGATTTTTAAAGAAAAAGACGTAAAAGGGGACCAGTTGCAAGGTACCCTAGTACTATAAACTCACGCCTTCCTTATTGAAGCACTTCGAAATTAGAGGGAAGGTTGAACCCATACCTATAAAGTTATTACACTTTGGGTGGGCGTAGCATTGCTTGAAGGATCAAACACTTATAGAGCATTCTCCAATGTTTGGTAAGACCTAGAAACAGGACACCTGGGAATGTCAAAATATAGAAAAACTGGCCCAACAACAATGGCAACCCTAGAATTAGCATCCATATTTAGGGCAGGAGAAAGAGCAAGACAATCAAACTATATATGGAATTACCCAGAAAAGTGGCTTAGTTGTCGTCGGAGTGGTCAAATGGAGAAAGAGTCAGAGGCGAACCTGAAAGGGATAACCTAGATTACGGTTAGACTTTGGTCGTAGCATTGAGAAGTCCCACCTCCTTTAAGATCCCGAACTCCGTAACTTGTTACGCCGCTTGAAAGCCTTTGGTGAGTCCGCTACTCCGATCATTTAATAGTAGGTGAGGCAGTTACAGCAGTGAATGATAAGGAAGGATCAAACTATGATTGGAACTCAGATCAAGAAGAAAATGAAAAGCTAGCGGGATTTCAAAAGAAGGATTCTCGTAGAATAAGGATAGCTAGTTGATAGGCTTTTTGCTATGTTTCCTTCAGTTTCTGACGGGGTTATCCCGTTCTTTGACAGGCTCCCATTTTCACTAAGATTAGTCCCTGTAGTGGTCAAACTTGGTGAACCGGGCAAACAAAAGAAGATATTAGGAGTGGAAGGCATTTTCACTCATTTTCCTGCTATATGAGATCAAACTTTTGAAATCGGATCTCGCTTCTAAAGGCTAAAACGGTTTGTAAGCCGAAAACACGAGGTTTCATGAAGTTTTGTTTTTATTTTTCTGATGGTCTTAGGGCGAAAACTAGCTTGCTAGATTTTCCATATATAGCCGACTAAACTCCGAACCCATAGTGTCTGGCAGTTCTGGCTGTATGGATAGTCTGCCTCTTCTTGTTTTTCTGTTCTGTCAGCAGAAGGAAGAAGGCAAAGTCGGCGAAGCAGAAATGGAGGAAGCTGAAGTTGGAGCCGTAAGCTAAGAAACTGCAGAATCCGTCTCTCGCTTTGTTGCTATTCATTGTTCAGTGAAATGTTCAGAAAATGGGATAACAGCTAGATGCTTAGCACATGCAAGTCAAACTTTCTTTCTTAACTTTCTTTTTCTTTCTTAACTTTCTTTCTTTTTCTTAAAGCAGTATTCCCCCTTGCAAATCAAATCTTTATCAAATCAAATCTTTCATGGAATTCTCTCCTAGAGCTGCCGAACTCACTACTCTATTAGAAAGTCGAATTACCAACTTTGACACGCATTTTCAAGTGACTGAGATCGGTCGAGTGGTCTCAGTTGGAGATGATATTGCACGTGATTATGGATTGAACGAGATTCAAGCTGGGGAAATGGTTGAATTTGCCAGCGATGTGAAAAGAATAGCCTTCAATCTTGAAAATGAGAATGTAGGGATTGTTGTCTTTGGTAGTGATACTGCTATTAAAGAAGGAGATCTTATCAAGCGCACTAGATCTATTGTGGATGTTCCTGCGGGAAAAACAATGCTAGGGCGTGTGGTCGATGCGTTGGGAGTACCTATTGATGGAAGAAGGGCTCTAGGTGATCACGAGTGAAGACGTGTCGAAGTGAAAACCCTTGGGATTATTGAACGTCAATCTGTGCACGAACCTATGCAAACGGGGAAAGTGCTTTACTTTGCTTCGTCAATCTGTGCACTCACTCTTACATTGTCGTATAATTAAACCAACAAAACCACTTTTGATCATTAGACATACTAATCCAACATCAATTCCGGAATATTTTCTCTTTCTCTTGGGACGATCCCTACTCACTCTTGTTACTTTAGTAATTAATAGTGATAGTGGCATTTTACAAATTTAAACTTGGTCACATTTTTATCGCACTTTGAGTGTTGGCACAACACCGCACCAGTGGTTAAAAATTGGGGGGTTGATGGGTGGAGGGTTATGTGGATAAACTTTTCCAAAGTTGGTAATGTTGGTAGTCCTTTTATGGGTAGTAACAATCACTTCAGTAGGTAAAAGTCAAGTCAGAGTTAGCATGAGAATGGGTTGTTATAGCTTGTAGGGTGTGTCTAGATGGGGAATTCAAATTTGAATTTAAAGAGGGGGGAAGAAGAGCAGCTATGAGTTCCCGGATAGAGATTCTTTGTACTGTATTCATCATGTTGCCCTGTTGAGATGAAGTGGGGAGGAGAAAATATCTGGTAATCTTTAACTGTATACATGAGTTAGCTTGAGTCGTGCATGGAGAGGTGGTGGAAGAGGTTGTGACCTCAGAGTTAGCATGAGAATGGGTTGTTATAGCTTGTAGGGTGTGTCTAGATGGGGAATTCAAATTTGAATTTGAAGAGGGGGGAAGGTGCACCAAGGAGAAGAGCAGCTATGAGTTCCCGGATAGAGATTCTTTGTACTGTATTCATCATGTTGCCCTGTTGAGATGAAGTGGGGAGGAGAAAATATCAGGTAATCTTTAACTGTATACATGAGTTAGCTTGAGTCGTGCATGGAGAGTTGGTGGAAGAGGTTGTGACCTTTGAAGCTTTGTCTCTGATAGCTCTGATCTCAGCTCCGAGAGTCTTTTTCAAATCCTGGTACATATCAAGTGCTCCAATCAAGCTCCTCTGTTAAGCGTTCAATTTGGTGGTCAGGGGAATCATACAACACATCGTTGAAGTTATCATGATAGGGACTTTTAGCAGTAGCAACTGGCTTATGAACATGTGGTTTGGGATTAATTTGATGGAATGACATGTATGGTCTTCCTTGGATAAGACGGTTTGGAGGTGACATTGTTGGTACTAGGATGGTTCGCTAGTTGTCTGGGTGTGTGATGCTGGTGGTTTAATGGAAAGAATGGTGGTTTGAGATGATTTGGGATTGGGTTTTTCGGGGAAGGTGGTCTCTGGTTGGGGGTTTCCATTTGATTAAACATGAAAAGATGCACCGGTGCATGTTAAAGTCGGAATGGTGCAACTACTCAATAGACTAAGTTACACATGCATATACAAAAGTTATACCGGCGCAATTGCTTTTTGGTTTTAAAACACATTATTGTAAGAAAAAAATTAGACCAGTTCAAGCACAAGTTCCATGTAAAAATTGCGTGGAGACTGAAAGTTGGTCAAGAGAGGGAGCACTCTTCGAAATATTGATAAGAAAAAGAGGCCTGATATGCCTCAACATATGGTAAGTTGGCTTTTCAATCACCAATCAAACTGGTGAGAGGCTAGTGCTCTCAAAGGGCAAGCAAGGGATTCAGAGAGAGATGCAATCATGCACTATCCAAAAAAATTCACATCATATCAAAAAATTAGAGAATTTAGTGGAGAAAAAAAAAAATTCAAACAGAGAAGATGACAACACCAAAAATAATATCACATCATGCCAAACAGTCCCTAGGTCTTCTTTAATCTTCTAGTTCTAATTTGTTTGTAAGCTATGTTTTTATTATGGATTGGTAGCAGGCTGGACTTTGGCTAATCTCAAATCTTTAAATCATGAACTTCTCAAACTAAGACTCATAACATAGTGATATGTTAGACTCAAACATTATGTTTCAAAATAGGGAAGAAACAGTCATATTATTGAATATTTGAAACTATATTTTTTTCAATAGCCGAAAATATATATATACATTCGAAATATTTACACACTTGTCTTGTAAGAACTAACATATAATGTTGGGTACATTATTGACCTTGTTCCAATGTCTAAGTTTGCTCCTCCATGACTAGATGAATACCCAATTCCTTGACCTTCATTGTTGATCTAATGGAAGGACTAAATGGGACGTAGTTAAATATTATAGAAGCTTCAATGCAAGAGCCTAGGCTGACCTTTGATGCCTTGTTCATCAAATTTTGAATTGGTTGATAGTCTTTAGACGACTCATCGTCATATTCCGTTGTGTTCATCAAAATGACAAGATCTGACACAGGATCCTCTCCTATTGAGTAATTTCGAGACAATCCAGTCATGAAATAACCATTGATTTCGAGATCAAATCCAATATGTGATACTCCATGGACTTCCAAAGCAGCGCAGATGACAATTCCTTTGACATTATTGTAAGAAGGTAGATGATCTACCAGCAAAGATACTGATAAAGAGCCCTCACCTTCACTCCTACGGCTAAACCATTGCGGAATCTCACTTCCCGAAAGAATGATAACACCATTTCCCTGTTCCATGCACACGTATAAATTAAAGATCATGTTCAAGCTGATTAGATCTTAATTCATACATATATATATATATATATATATATATATATATATAGAGAGAGAGAGAGAGAGAGAGAGAGAGAGAGAGAGAGAGAGGGAGGAAAATAAACCTGAATGTGATTTTGTGATGATATATTTGCCATGTTGTTCCTCTGGTCCATAAACAATAACTTGCGGCACTCACTGAATATGAAATACCGATTGTATGGACTACCTACAGTTGGTGGAATCCAACACCTTTCCAATGATTTGCAACCATGTGCATTCACATAAGTTATAGATGAGGGAAGTGAAGTCAACATTCGAAGGCTTGTGCAATGTTCCAAATAAAGCCGTTCCAGCTTCATGAGCTGACTGAAGCTTGCTGGTATGCTTGCGAAATTGTTTTTACTTAGATCTAACAACCACAATGAGGATAGGCGGCCAAAATCGCTGGGAAAGGATTCCTCTGATAAATTCCGATTGCTGAGATTTAAATGAGTTAAAGTGCTCAAATTCAACAGCAAATCCAGTTGCAAAGAAGTTGAAGCAAATGATCTCTTTCGCACCAACGAAAATGGCATCAATAATTTTGGCGTCTTGGCTGATGACCTTTGAAAATCACAAAGATAAAGGCCACGAAGTTTACTTAACTCTCTAACGGAGGTTGGTAACTGTTCTATAGCAGTTCCTCTCATATCAAGGATATCTAAATTCTTCATTCTAGAAAAAATGTTGCTTGGAACACTTTTAAGCTTTTGGCAATCCCCTAGAGATAAAAATCGAAGCCCTTCAAGATGCTCAATTGATGAAGGCAAATCTTTTATTGCAGTTTTGTCTAAACGAAGCTCCCACAAACAATCCATATGCCCCTGAATCTCTGGAAACTTCTCAAGTTTTGAGCATTCCGATAGAGTAAAATACTTAAGATTTTTCATTCTGATGCTTTTCGGGAGACACCTCAAATTTTTACATTTCCAAAGATCCACTCTAACAAGCCTCTCGTGAAACTCCAATCGACTGATGAACCTCAATAAGGTTTGTACAACCTCCAAGATTTAAATTCTCAAGACATGGGAGACCGGAAAAATCAGGAGTTTTGTACAAATATAGGGAGTGACTGAGATCAAGAAATCTTAACTTCTCTAGAAACTGTTAAGAAACAAGAAATAACGAAATAAAATTAGTTTCAAAACCCGACAATACTATTCATATGTAAATAATTGTGTCAATAAACTGTGATCATACCTTGATACTTGATGAAAGTTTTTTGATTTGGTTATGACAAAGGCGAAGGTGAACAAGATTTTTTGGATGGAAGTTGGATGGTAAAAACCTTGCCGAGTAACCATGCCAATCAAGATAACACAATTCGTTTGAAAGATAGGTCATGTGTCCACAAGATCGTATCCCACTGAGTTTGAGGCTTTGAGCAGTTTAAGTTTCTTCATCTTCACAAAGGCATCAAGGTTTACATGTAACTCCTCTGGTAGATGATCATGATGCACATTTAGCATAATACCTTGAATTGCTTCTGTCACCTAATTACCAAGAGCATAGTTTAAGTTACTACAAAATGTTAAAAATTAGAATTATAAAAGTTTACAACTGCATATATGGAGGAAAACAAAAATATAAAATGAAATCCATCTTTTTTGGCACTTGTATGTGGAAAGAAAATTATATGTAGTTAGAACATACCATAATGTCTCTAAGTACTTTATAGATATCTTCATTAAACCATAACCTACTGCGATTTCCAGCATCTTCAGGTGATTCTTGACGAACAATTTCCTTACCCATTTCTTGTATCAAATGATGCATCTGCAGCTCGTTCTTATATGAAATAGTTATCAAGGACCGTTCAATAAGAACTTGAATTCGTGGGTGAAACCCACTATTGCCCAATATGCTCATTACATAATCTTTATCGCACCCTACGAAGGAACAAGAGATATCGAGGAATAGATCCTGCTCTGTATCATTAAGGCCTTCAAATCTTATCTTTAGAACATTATAAATTTCTCTATTTGGAATTCTTTTCAAATTATCCAGTTCATGTTCCCACTCTTTTGTACTTCTTTTAAATAAAAAAGAACCCAAAATTTGAAGAGCTAATGGAAGGCCCTGGGCAGAATATATTACACTCCGTGAGAGTTCCAGGTAATCCTCTAAAGGATAGCTATTAGTGAAAGCATGCCAACTAAAAAGTTGAAGAGCTTCATCATCATTCAACAACTCAACCTTATATTCACCATGATCTACCTTGTGCTCCACCAACAAACGTTCATTTCTAGTTGTTACAATGATCCTACTTCCAAGACCAAACCAGTCATTTGCTCCAGCTACACTTTCTAATTGCTTCAAGCTATCCACATTATCGAGAACTACAAGAACCTTTTTGTAACATAGTCTTTTCTTTATCACATTGATCCCGTAGTCAACATTAAGCATCTTTAGATCTCCTTCCATTAGGATGTCATTCAAAAGTTGTTGTTGGAGATAAATTAGACCATGTTGTTGTGAAACTTCATTCACATTGGTAAGGAAACAACAACTTTCAAATTGATCAAATATTCGATTGAAAACAGCTTTGGCTATGGTTGTCTTTCCTATTCCCCCAATTCCACAAATTCCGATAATGCACACATCTTTTAACTCATTGTTTAGCAAAGCGATAACTTTGTTCACACGAGAATCTATCCCCACTTCGTACTTGGCAACATTTAATGGTATATGCCCCAATTCTTTTATGATCCCTTGGACAATTTTTCTGATAATCTTTGCCTCATGCCTATCAAGTAGAAAGCACATTAAAAAGATCAAGTGGGTATGATTGTACAAATAAAAAAAATGAAGTTACTATAATTAATACTTATATCAAATTTTATCAGAAAAAGAAAAAGAAAAAAAGAACAGGAAAACAGCAATAAACAATTGCATTCATAAATCATAGAAACAAATTATTACAACCATAACTGAAGTCATGATTTATATAAAATTCCATGTAGGGTCCGTCGGGGAGATGCACAAATAGTCCTGGTAAAACAGCGGTTTGGGATTGCTTTTCAAATTAGTTAGAAGCACTTTTATTTATTTTTTAAATAATATTTAGATATGTTTTGTAACTATTATAATAATTTAATTATGAAAAGTACTTGTTATATGTGTCACCAGCCTAATAATTTTTTTGACAACTCTAATAATATAAACGTTTTTCTATTCTAACCCCAACACCAATCAGGCCCGAAAAACAGCCACATACTAAGAGGGTGAGGAGATATAGCAAATATAGAGCCCAAATGCAAAAAGAAAGAATTATATATATATATATATATATATATATATATATATATCCACAAGGGGAAAGTCTGAGAAACACCCTTATAGTTTTAAATGTGTGCGAATTACACCCTTATAAATCCATACTTAGTTATGAAAATGTGCAACTAAACACCTCCGGTCAGAATTCAAGTAGAAAATGGACGTTAATTGGTCATGCACATGACCATTTTAAACCCTTTATTCCCAAAAATGCCCTTTTTATATTCCTTTACTACCCCTCACCATATATATATTTGTAACCCTAATCTCTCTCTCCCTCATCTCAGTCTCTCGTCTCTCTTCCTCCTTCCTCCTACAGAAATCTCGTCGGTCTCGAATCGATCAATCAATTGTGGAGTTCTTAGTTTTGATTGAGTGGCGATGACCTTCGGCGTGAATGACGATTGACGAGGACGACGCTGTGGTGCGGGAGTCGAGGTTGGCAATGAGAGACAGGAATGGGAATTACGTCAAATTTAGGGAATTAGACGGTTGTGGGGAGCCAGATAGTTTTGTTGGTCGTAGGGCCCAACCTTCGTCCTCTCTGACGAGATCATGCTGATCTATCTGGTGGTGGGCTAAAGTAGTGTTCTTGCTCAGTTTTTTGTGTGGTATTGTGTGTGTATATATATATATATATATATAACCTAAAATCAATCAGTAAAATAAGCTCCAAAAGTCCACAAATCCAAACCCCATAATTGAAAGATACATAATTTGAAATGTGAAGAGAGAGCACACCTCTTGGAATCTCTCGATAGTCTTGCCGATGCTGCGGCCTACTTCGGGTAACTACTTGGGGCCGAAAACAAGGGCGGCGACGCCGGCAATCACCACCAGCTCCGGCACCCCCAGACCGGACAAACAGTTGCAGGAGAGACCCCTTGATTTGGGTGTCTTTTCCAAATGGGCCGGTCCCTTCTTCATTGATAAGGTATATAAATATATATATATATATATATATATATATATATATATATATATATTATTCTAACTTGAAACGACGTGGTATTGACAAAGGTTTCTTGTCTTTTCCTACTTTATATTATTTTATTATTATTTTTAAATTATAAATAAAGAATTATTTTAATATTTTTATTCCTCAATAGAGATTCACGTCCAAAAAATACTAATCCACACCATTTTTTATTTATAGAGGTGGTGAACAAATAACGAGGAATTGTACACGCGACCCTATCCACAATCGTAAATGTAATATTTTCTACAATCAATATAAGAATCCTATTCGAAATATACAAATAAACACAACCAATTCAACGTGGTATGAATCATCATTAATTTATTATTTTGTTAGACAAAGTCGGTTATGGATCAAATTAGTCAATCAAAAAAGTATAACTTAATGGTAAATTTGTAATGACGATCTTAAATCAACCCACCTATCAATTAAATGTTGATGACTTCTATTATTATTATTTTTTTTACTTTTTATTTTTAAGTTAAATGAACTTCTATAACTTAATTATTACTCTAAATAGTGTGGATAAATTTCATATAATCCCCTAGTACCATTTTATAACAACTCTCTTTTTTTAAAAAAAAAATTATCAAAAAATTCCCTCAACTTACTTACTGAGTGAAGTTATTTTATGAATTATTGTCAAAAAAAAATTATCGAGTTTTATGCAATTCATCTAATCTTCCTTTTTTTTTCTTTTTTTTTTTGTGAAAATATTTTAAATTTATATTTTATGTTGCCAGTAACACCTTACTTTTAATTAAAGAAAAGTATCAAAAAATAAAATCAAATTAAATTCATAGTTATGGGAACTACATATATATAAGTTCAAATATTATATATTTTCTCATGTTTTATATTATATATATATATATATATATATATACTATTATTATATTATTTATATTATATTTTTAATTTTATACAATGTGTATATATGATATATACCAAACAATTAGATCGGCAAAAATTAATTTTAATTACAAAAAATAATTGAATGACAAAAATAGTAGTTTTTTACTTTTTTTTTTCTCTCATTTTGTTTGATTGAATCGGAATAAATAAAAGGAGAAAAGGATATTGCAGGATTTAACTATGCTATATATATGATAAAAAAAGAAAAGAAAAAATATGTAGTTACATTCATAATTATGAATTTATATATATATATATATATATATATATATATATATTTATGTTTTTCTTTAATTAAAAATATATTTGGTGATGACGTGACAAAAAATATAAATTTAACTATCAAAAGGCTACAAATCATGGGAATTTAAATAGAGTTCGTTTACCTAAATAGTTTTGACAAACATTCAGCTTTAGTCAAATAAGTTTCATTCTAATAATAAAGATTAAAAACTTACGTGAAACTAAATCATATTAAGAGCCCGTTTGGCATTAATGTTATAATAGATAAATAAAAACGCTTTTGTCACTAAAGCTGTTAGAGCTGTCAAAAAAAAAAAAAAAAATGCTATCGGTAAAAAATATAGTAGGTTTTTGGTGATACATTATAATAAGTATTTTTTATAATTAAATTATTTTTAAATTTATTGGATAGCATTATTTTTTAAAAACACTTGTATTTCTAAGTATTTTTTATAATTAAATTATTTTTAAATTTATTGGATAGCAATATTTTTTAAAAACACTTGTATTTCTAATTTTATAATAATATCTTTTAATATAATGTTACCATATTTGATAATAGATCTTTATAAAAGAATTACTAAAATTGCCTTTATAAAAAATAAAAAGTGATAAAATTGTTTAAGGAAAAATAATAATCTAAAATATACAACCTCTACTCGAAAAGTAATTTTAAAAGTTCAAAATTCTAGCTTCATTCGGGCTAAAATTGGTAACCACTAACGGTTACCAAACACACTTAAAGCAATTCTTTAAAATAAGAAAGTTTCTTTTTAGAGTTGATGAAAAGCAATCATAAACGGGCTCTAAATAGGATATTGAGTTGAGCCCGTTTGGGGTAGCTATTAGAATAAATAAAAAAATGCTTTTATCATCAATAGAACTGTCAAGAATTTGCCATCAATAAAAATGTTTGGTGACACATTATAATAATTACATTTCATTTCCTTTAATAGGATATTATCCAAACGGACTAATAGTCTAGTGGTAAAAATATATTTTATTTACCAAGATAAAAAAATAATAATACGAAAGAAAAAATAGCATGGGCTATTACGGCAAATTTTCTCAATAAAAAGAATATTATTTGATATTTTAAATTATGCAACATGTTACAGATGCCTTGATAGTTCAATGGGTTAGTGTCTCTTTAAATTTTAAAGTGTGAGGCTTCGACTTTTTAAATCTACTAATCTTTAAATTTTAGAGTGCGAGGCTTCGACTTTCTGAATCTACTAATCTAACTTCTAACTCTTCTTGTCTTGTAATAAATAAATAAAATTTGTTCAACCTGTTTGCTTCTAATTAATTATGCCAAAGTCCTTTACCTAAACTATTGCACATATTTCATATTGATATATATATAGAAGCAGAATAAACTTTTAAGAGTTAGTTATTACCTGTTTGGTATATTGTTTAAATTCCACCCGCTTAAGTTGGCTGCCTCTGCCAATGCTGCCCTCCACCTCTTCACCTTTTCCTGGTCCTCCCTAAAAGTTTCTTCATGTTGGACAAATGCTTCTCCAAAACTTCCATTTTGTTTTCGTACTTCTGAAGGATCAACGTCGTAGAAGATTGGCAAAACTGTCTGACCCAGCATGTTCTTGCATCCGATAATCTCTACAAGTTCATCCAAACACCATGCGGAAGATGCATAGTTGTTAGAGAAAATGATAACGGCTAATTCCGATTCCTTGATAGCTTTGAGAAGTTGTATAGAAATCGATTTTCCTCTCTTAAGTTTCTCATCATCTTTGAAGGTGTAAATTCCTTTCTTTTGTAGAGCCATATAGAGATGGTTTACAAAATTTTTGCGAGTGTCTTTTCCTCTGAAACTTAAGAAGACATCATAATTCCATCGTTGCAACGATGAAGAGGGAGAGGAATTAGAAGAAAAAGAAGAAGAAGCATCCATTGATGCTTGCTAATTTGTGAATGCAGAATTGTTCAGTATGTTATGATATTTCAAAGTATCACTCCCTCTTTATTATATATGAGTTGGCTAATTAAGCTTCTAACTTCGAAATTATTATTAGTATTATTATTATTATTTCCTCTCTGGGTAAAGGAAGGCGTAGGTGGGTCAAATTAGAACCTTCGGGTCCACAGTATTAGGTTATGAATGCACCTTTTGAGTATTAAAATCCTCCAATGTCACATGGGAAAAAGATTAACCTCTCATGTGTTGGACGGTCATTCTTTCTGGTTGCTAGAATTGTTAAAAGATGTAGAAGATTTGACTGAATGTCATCTTATTGGTTTGTGAAGAGTTCAAGTTATATCATGATTCCCAGTGGTATCCATTGCGATATCTGTTCGCAGTAGTGTAGAGAATTCGAACGAATATTGATATAAATTAGTTAGAGACAAAGCCAAGATTTATATGGGGGAGCAAAAATAAATTTTGGAAGACAATAGTGCATATTTTTAGTAATTTTAGGGGGGCTAATGCAATATTTTATGGGTATATTACTAAAAATGAATAAATTATAAGGATAGAATACTAAAAAAAAAATATTTCAATGGGGGCCATTGCCCCCACTGCCTTCAATGTCGATCTGTCCGTGAAATCAGTTCAATCGGCCCGTTCATAAAGGTGTATAATAGTGTAGATTTTTAAAAAATGGTTACAAACCAATAGATACGTCGAACTATGTATAACTAGACATTCAAATTATTAGATTATATTCCTTTAAATATATATATATATATATATATATATATATTATTAGATTTTACCTACGCTGTTAAACCCCCTTAACTATTACTTTTTTTTTTTTTTAGGGTACTACACCAGTACATTGTATAGCATTTATCAACCCAGTTGCGTTGAATAGTTTACTTGAATAACACTCATCAACCCCTGAAGGGCTAAACATAGCCTATAAATAGAATCCTTATTTACTTTTCATAATTCAATTCAATATACATTTTTCATTACTTCCAAGACAAATAAGTTAACAGATCGATTCAATATACATTTCTCATTAGTTCCAAATGCTTTCCACATACACTCCATATATGAGCAACCACTTACTTATCTTCATTACTCCTCTTAAGGGGAATACATAATTGAAGTGGTATCTATGTCCTTTAATAATTGCTCGAATATAATATATATATTGAAGATGCAAGAAATTTATATTTTCATTTCAACAGAGTTTCATTACACTTCAACAATAATCCCCCCTTTTTTCTTCTCTTCTCCCCTTCTATTTATAGACCAGTTTCAGTTTCCTAGAGGATTCCTAATTAACCTCTTCCATTGGGCTCATCCTCGAGGCTTTCGTAATGATGGGCCTGATCATCTTCAGGGGCTTTTCGCTTCACTCTTCAGCTTTAGGCCAGCCTTATGGAAGCTTGATCCGGGCCCAGGTCAATTACCAAGCCCATTCTATATCATGCAAGCCAGATCCGGCCCATGCCGCTTCTGGTATCCTCAACTGCCCCCATAATTGCTCCCTCATTAATTAGGGTGTAATTATTTACTGAGCTAATGATGGCTTGACGGCTGATGATGTGTCGACGACTCTAGGCAATCACATAGAGCATTGAACGGTCAGCCTCAGAATCAGAATCTTTGAAATTTAAATTTCTTTAACTTACTAACGCCTCGGTTGATGGGACCACTTTCTTTATATATATCGTTTCTTCACACTTACAGTCTTCCTTGTCGTACCTAACATATCTCGCTATCAATCCTTTCACAATCTATTATCTGCAGGCAATTCGAATCTTTTCTGGTCAAGCCAAATCTTCTCCGGTGAATCCTGTGAAAGATTCTTCATCTTCAGTTTCCTTGCAATATCCTTTGAGGTTAGTCTTATTGCCCCTCCCCTCCTAAAATCTCTGCATTCTTTGTCAAGGCTTATAATCACTTTCACCAAGCCCATCGATCTAGATGTTCTTCGCATGAAACTCCATCTTCCAAGTAATATTCATGTTAGGGAGTGCCCCACAAATGTAAATATCAGAACTGGTAAAGGCCTTCTTCCTGGTGAAACCTTATTTTGCCTCCATCATTTAAACATTCTTAGATTCCCTCTGCATCCTTTCTTTTGTTATGTATTCAATAGGTTGAAAATTTCTCCTCTTCAAGTTAACCCCAAATTTTTTAGGGTTCTATCCGTTTTGTTGCTTCTGAATCGTGACAGAGGTTTGGATCTTGATTTAATTAATCTTCTCCTTTGTTACAAAGTTAGCAAGATCAGGTTAGATGAGGCTTACTACCATTTTTATCCGTTTGAGAAAATGTCCATCTGTACGGACAAACTTAAATCTGAAAAAAGGTGGAAAAGAGGCATTGTTGGGGTTCGGGGAGCTTGGTTTGCTCTAGCAGCCAATGAATATCCTATCCTGAACGCCTTTGGCGAATGTTCTGTCTCTTCTTATAAGAAATTCAAGACTCATAAGGCTGATTGCCCTTGTGAAATTTGCATTCCCCATTTTTGTTCTTTTCTTTGCAATTCTCTAGGTATCACTTTGGATAATGAACTCAGTTACAACATTTGTAGGGATAGGATCACATACCTGAAGTAACACGTGCTGAGCAACGTCCCCTCTTGTTCGGAGCTTCTCACATCCGAAAACCTTAGTGACATTTCAGTCCTCGGTACCCCAATGAGTCAACTCCAGATCCCTTCCTTCAGTAGGAAGAAGGCTCCTCCTAGGGCTGTTACGACTCCTACATCTTTTTCTTCTCCAGCCTTAGCATCATCCTCTGCCACCACCTCCAACACTACTCCAAATACAATGAATATTAGCCCAATCGTCAATGTTTCTTCTGTCAATCCGAGCACCGCTCTTCAGACTCGGGGCCCCTTTGCCCCCGCTGCATCCACTCAAGACAAGGAGCGAGGAAAAAGGCCACAACTTGACAGTGAGGGCAATCCTGATGACATTCCCCTGACGAGGAGGGTTCGGACTTCTGGGCCGAACATGCCCATACCCCCTTAGATCAGACCGGTTGCTCCTTCTGGATCTGGCACGACCACTGCTTCTGCCTCTGGTGAGGCTCCATGGACTCCTCGATTTGTCCGAACGGATGGATCAGTTGTTAAACTGAGTGACACCATGTTCAAAGATGGCCTAACCGCCATGGCTTATTACAAGAACATGTGGTCCCCCAAAGATATTGAGGTTGCCAAAGCTCTTGCTCAAAAAGAAGTGTTAAGCCATTTTCCTTTGGCTGCTATGGAGGTAATTCCCTTCCCAGGTCTTAGTCACTTCAGAAGTATCTTCATTTTACAATTTCTTTGAACATACGTTCGGCTTAATTAGTATTTATGTATTATTTTGCAGACTCTGTTTGGCATGATGGCCATGCAAAAGCATGTTGAGGCTGCCAACGTTAAGGCACGAAAGTTCGCCAAAGACGTTGAAGTAGGTCACAAAGAGAACCAGATCATTAGCACAAAAAATGCTGAACTCATGGTGCAATTGAACAAGGTTGAGAATGAAAGGGATGGTCTGAAGAAGGAAGCAGACTCCCTTCAGGATGAGAAGAATATCCTTCAGATTGAGAAGAATATCTGGCAGACCGAACGTGAGTCACTTAAGGCTGAAAGGGACAACCTTCAGTGCTTACTTCATGACGAACAAGCGGAACACATGGCCTTTGAGAAGAGGGCTCTAGATGAGCGCAATGCCTTGCTTGGCATTATTGGCAAGGTTAATAGCGGGGTGACAGCTCTGTATGGTTGCTTCTCCAGAATCGGAGCCCTCAGATATGCTGAAGGGTTCAGAGAGGGTTATAATGACCGTCTTCCTGCTGAGGGTCAGATCGGTTCCACTCCAGATGACATTGACAATAGACTCCTCTCCTGTCGAGCATATCTTTGATGAATGCCAGGAGATTGCATCTTCCGGGGTCATCCCCTCTTCCTCCTCTGCTCAGCCTCTGGACGCTCCTCCCTTATCTACCGTGGTTTCTTCTATAACTGTTACCGAGGATGTTCCTTCTGTAGCTGTTACTAAAGATGTTCCCTCTGCAACTGTCACTGAGGGTGCTCCCTCTGCAACTACTGCTGAAGATAGAGCTCAAGTGAATGAGTTGGTTATTCAGCTTGACTCTCCCTTCCATGACGGTGTGACACCCCATAACAGTGAGGAAACTACTCAACACAGTCAAGAGGCCAATGGGGCAAATGCAACCAGCTAGGGCCCTTCTGATGCCTCCATCTTCTTATCTGTTCTCATTCCTTCTGTACACTTCATTTATGTAATTTCAAAATTCATTATGAATGAAATGAAGGATTTTTTACTAAACTCTTGCCGTGTAATTTTTTAATAAATTCTTACTGCCTTTCTTTGTGCATCAGCAATGGTGATCGATTTTGTTTTTTAGCAAATGCTTGGCGTTCGGCTCATAGTGCCAGCTGCCACTTACTTTGCTAAGTGCCTAGCGCTCGGCTAGAATGCCACTTACCACTTGGCTTTCAATGTTTTAGCAAATGCTTGGCATTCGGCTCGTAGTGCCAGCTGCCACTTACTTTGCTAAGTGCCTGGCGCTCGGCTAGAATGTCACTTGCCACTTTTACTTTTGTTATTTTTGGCAAGTTTTTGGCGTTCGGCTAAAAGTGCCAGCTGCCACTTACCTTGCTGAAGTGATTGGCGCTCGGCTAGAATGCCACTTGCCACTTTCACTTTAGTTTTTGGCAAGTTTTTGGCATTCGGCTAATAATGCCAGCTGCCACTTACTTTGCTGACTTCAGTTAATCAACCTCTTGAAAATGAATATCACTTTTATAAATCTCATAAATTTGTACATTCGCACGTATTCAATTGAAAATGAACAAAATCCAAAATTGAAACTCAACTTTTTATTGATAATACCTCTTCAGAGACCTAGCATTCCAAGGTTTATTAACCAGCCTTCCGGCCATGGTCTCTAGGGTATAAGCCCTTCCCTATGAC